GACAATAATAACAATAAAACAGTTCACTTGCCTGGAAGGAGGGAGCACTCTGTTTCCAAGATTGAATTAGCTCACATTTCTGCTTACCTTCTTACTGTTTTAATCTATATATTGGCAACTCCAAAGGTAATGGAGAACTCGTTTGAACTGCAGACAACTCAGATACATGAAGTTAAATGAGCAGAGCTTCTTCCCCCATTAGAATCAATTATCTCATCTAAGTGTGCAAAAGTGCTGTCTTGTTAAAAGGTCATGAGAATTAACTAATCCCAGAATGAATAGAACTCTCACAGCTCTGTGAAGAGAAACATTTTTATTGTTACAACTTTCTCTTCTTTTTAAGAAGATGCAGAGTGAGTCCTTCCTTGAACACACACACACACACACACACACACACACACACACACACACTGAAGGGAAAGAAGTGTTGCAGGTGAACATGGTCCTTAGGACTCAGATCCCGGGGGTGGGGGTGGGGGGGAGGTGAACTTAGTGCCCTTTCCTCTTAACTTTTTACCCACTGCAATCATACTGGCCCATACAATTGTGAGGCTGGGGTGGGTAGGGGGTGTTTCTGTGACCTGTGTATTCCTGAAAGCTACATGAGAAAGCAAAGCTCTGTCTCCAACTCCAACTGAGTCTGATGCCAGGTGACTTGGCCATCCAGAAGTAATTTGGAGGCTGCATGGTTGGGAAAGGAACCCAGGGTCACCTAGATTGGACTGAGAAATGGCTTGCTGGCAGGTGATAATTAGAGACAAGAGTCGGATAAGGCAGAGATTAAGAGATACGAAGTTCAAGTTCAACCAGCAACGTCATCTTAAAACCAAAATAAGAGAGACCTTTCGTCTGTGATCTAGGATATTAAATATAAGTCATTGTTGTGACCTCTTGATTCTTTCATTGTGTTGTTTGGCTGGTGGTTAGTTTTATAGTCTTGAGTGATAGGCAAGGGCAAGAGAGAAAGGGAAATAGTTTGCTTTGCTCTCATCTTTCCAAAGGACAGACATACACTCAGCCAGAGACTGTTCTTTGAATAGCAAGCTCAAGTGACCACTCCATCCATGACAGTCATCTAAATGATAATGCCAACACAAAAATTTTCCTCATTTCAGTGCATACTAAATGCCAAATACTTTATTTATACTATTCAATTTCATCCTCATATGAAGGTAGGTTGAAAATTATTAATAGGAATATATCTGTGATGGAACTAGAAAAGAAATTGAGTTATAGTGACATACTCTGATTTACTCAGAGAGGTAAATGAAGTTACTCAACACCACAGAGCCGATATAAGTGTGAGACAAGTTCCCAAACCACACCACCTCTTTTCTATATTTACTTTAAAAAGAAGATAAAATATGGGCAATGTAAAAGCTAAATATAATATAAACAAATTTAGGCTAAAATAAATGTTGTGAGGGAGGTGGTTATAATAAATATTCCCTGGCCCACAATAGCCCTCATTTAAAGCTGTGTAGAGCAGTAAATGCATGTTAGCCAAGTGATTTGGAAGTAATAGCCATGGATTTAAAAAAAAGGAAGGAAGGAAGGATTGAAGGAAGAAAGGAATGGTGAAAAAAAGAAAGACATGTTTCTCCCTAGCCTGAAAAGGATGGAACAAACTACTGAAACAATATGAGTTATAATTACTGTATTCCTTATTCTCTGAAGAATTAATGGTAACCACCCACCACCCATGTACATCACAGGATTATCTAAATTACACCCTGCTGTGTGTATTTATAACTATGGTGCAAAACTCTGCTCAGTACATTGAAAGTGACCTACATAAGAAACCTGATCCTGGTTTTCCCATTAGACTAGTTTGTAACTCAATGAAAAGGTGAAGAGATGCTAAGGAGTTCAGAAAGAGGCTGTGGAAAGGTAGAGGTCCACAGGATCACCCACACAGAAATGTTAATGAGTTCTAAAAGCCAGCAGCCAGGATGGCGGAAGTTCTGATTCCCTGGCTCTGGTCAGTCTGACATTTTCCTGTTGCCTTTTCCTACCCAGCAAGACATGAGAGATGGCTCAGAAAGTGCAAGCTCCAACCTGACATTTTTAGAAAATGCTCCATAGATGCGCAGACCTTGAAGGTTCCCCAGAGAACCCAACCAGCAGGAGGCAATTAACAAAGTCTTTATGCAGGAGTGGCCAATGAGAACAGGAGAGTTCCTGCTGTCAGAGTGCGGGCATCTCTTCCAAAATCAAGCGCAGGGCAGAACACAGTGCATGAGCACGCTAGCAGCGCCAGGGAGTGACCAAAGATAACAGTGCCCATAAAGAATTGTTGACTCAAGTGGCACTTTGGGTTTCAAAAGGCAGTGGGATGCAATCCAGCCATACAGCTACCCACTTTCCTGTGTATATTAAATGCTTTGATTTTGGCGACTTTTGGTTTATTTTAAAATAAAGTCATTGGTATAAAATTCAAATTAATGGGCTCTTTTGACTTATGTCATCTAGCAGGGGAAACAACAGCAAGAACAACAACAGATTTTCATTTCCAAGGTTATATTCCTGGTTTTGCTAAAAATCCACAACATTCAGAAGTTTCAGACCAAGATGCTATGAACAAGCTGGGTGCAGTGGCGCATGCCTGTAATCCCAGTGGCTTGGTGGGGGAGTGGGGCAAGGCAGGAGGATCCCAAGTTCAAAGACAGCCTCAGCAATTTAGTGAGGTACTGAGCAACTCAGTGAAACCCTGTCTGTAGATAAAATATAACAAAAGAGCTAGGAATGTTGTTCAGTGTTTAACACCCATGGGTTCAATCCCCGGAAACCTGCCGCCCAAATGTTGTGAACAAAGAGGTATACTGCAGTGTAATAGGAAAAAACTGGAAGCAACATAGATGTCTAAAAATAGCAGAACTTAGCTAAATTATGGCACAGGTACTGGATGGAATACAAGCCAATCATTATCAAAAATAACTATGACAACCAGCAATGAGGGAAATCTTAAGATATAATGTTAAGGGGGAGGGGAAGTAGAACACAAAATTTCATGTTTTTCCTGACCACATTTCTGTAGAATCAGATACATATATGAAAAACAAAACAAAACAAAAAAACTTGTAAAAAGATACATGAGGGCTGTGGATGTGACTCAAGCAGTAACGCGCTTGAATGGCATGCGCGAGGCACTGGGTTCGATCCTCAGCATCACATAAAAATAAAATAAATATGTTATGTCCACCGAAAACTGAAAAATAAAAAATAAAAAATAAATTAAAAAAAAAGATACATGAAAATCACAACAAGTTTTGTATTACCTATTGTGTAGGATTCTGGATAAATGTTGTCCTCTAGTTTCCAAAAGCACTGTTTACATTAAAAGGGAAGTTCTACCACTGTCTCAGACCAGAGAGGTGGAAGAGAAGGATGCTGGGCAGAAGGAAGAAGACCTAACTTTGGGCACGTGCCATGTGCACGTGACATTAGACATGAGGACTTATGTGCACTATCTCATTCAATCCTTAGGTAAACCTTGAGAAACTGGTATAACGAGGAAGAAAACTGGAAATTCAGAGAGGTTCTGAGACTTGGTCAGAGACACACAGATAGGAAGTGATTCAAGCTGCACTGGAACCAGATCTGAATGGTTCCAAAACAAATTAAAGTGTAAAGAAAGTAAGGAAAAACTGTGGCTGATACCATGGGCAGATTTGCTCTTTTGAGACAGTTGTAAGGGACTTTCCTCTTGAGGACAAAGTATGGAGCCCCACTTTGTCATATCCTGGTTGCCACAACCAAAACCATGTAAGCAACTTGTCTGGGGGCAGCATCAGCCTTCAGGATGGAGTCCACCCAGATTGATCAGTGCATGTGACAGGACCTGGGACTGAGCAGAGCCCATATCTTTAGACCCCTAGTTCTGAGCTCTTGCCACGAAATGACTCTGTCCTTTTGCAACAGCAGAAAATCCTATAAGAGGAGGAATCCTCCTTGTTGGTTGTCCTTACATCAGGCACTGTTTCCCAGATGGAGGGAGCCATCTCATGGCCTAAGATAAGGGGAACAACCCACAGGACAGGCCACATGAGGCTGTCATGAGGATTATTCCTTCCATTTCTACCCTCCAGCATCTGGTTCAGAGGAGTGAAGAAGAAAGGGAGGAGACAGACGCCCTGAGGATCCGTATCAAGACAACAGTTCTTACCTATGAAAACTTTGGCCTGTGTATGATATAATGCTGAAGGAGTCACTTTCATTATGTCATTTAGCTAAGATGGATGCTCTTAGTAACCCCATTTTATAGATTAGAGGCCTCAAAACAGAGCTACAAAGTAGACATTAATAATTGAATTCTGTGTCTCTAGAAAACCAGGGCCCTGGAATTATCTACAAATGCACCACTCATCATAGCAGCACCACCATCCCAGAGCAGGTCTCAGTGACCCTGAACCCTAAAATCCTCTCACACTGTTGCCAAAGAAACACAAGTTTACATTCATTCCTGAGTTTTTTGATCATTGACGAGGGAACAGACTTTCAGGGAATGACCCACAGAGAGGACGTGGCTAATGCTAGGGAAGGCCACAGGCTTCTCTTTATATTCAAGCCTTTATTATTAATTCAGGCATCAAAGAGATCCAAGGACAGCCTGCTTGTCCCAAATGCCCCGACAGGTGCCCAATCAGCACTGCCCTTTAGGTAGCACAACATGACAGCTCCAGGTCTGGAGAGTGCCGGTCATTTCCCAAGGCAGGGATGCTGGCAGACACTCAGCCATAGCTAGATTTCCTTTCATTGTGTCACTTGGACACTAATCAGATGGTTAACTAAGTTAACTAAGGCATCTCTGCGTAAAGGTGTCTCAACTGAGGCAAGATCAGCCTCTATGATGTGGCATCCCTTCCTTTTCCTGTACTAAAGATCAAATGGGGCAGAAGAAAATCATGGGGTTGGTGAATCTTGAGAGCCTACAGAAGGAAAAGATGCCTGTTGCTATGTTCCATTTCCATAGCTACTACAACACATACTCTAGCTCCGCCCTACAGTGACATTTCCATTTCCTGATTTCCTTTGGCACACCGACCATGTAACTGATTTTTTTTCCATGGTCAAAGTCAATTAGGAGGCATCCTCATTGTACCTCAAATGGAGTTTTAATTTGTGTGTATATTATTAAGATAGACCTTTTCCCTCTGGATCATTCACTTTGGTAAGGAGAATGAGGGAAGACAGCTTAACATGGAATCTGCCATGCAGATTAGTAACCTGGGATAATATTTCTCCATAATGAGAAGCATTTTGAAGGAGCACTTTAAAATCTCACAGCAGAGTGCTTGCTGTCTCTTCTTTACCCTTTATAGCTCTCCTGTCCCCTGTTCATTGGAACCACACCATGTTCTCTTGCCTCCCTACCTTTGTCTACACAGCACGAGACACTCAGTAGATGTGAGTCCCCTGCTGCTGAGTTACACAACCCCTGTGTTTGGTTCATTCCTTGGGTTATGAAGGTTAAGGCTGCACAGAATTCCAGGCATCACGAAGACGATGATCATGATAATGACAATGACGATGATGATAACATGAGCAACAGCTGCCGTCGTTAGATAGAAGCTATACTGTGCCAAGCACTGTGCTGAGTCACAGTGTCACTGGATCATCAGGAAGACTGTAAGGTAGGTATCCTTACCCTCATTTGCAAGAGGAGGAAACAGAGACAAAAGAGGTTCACCCATCTGCCTGAGGTTTCCATTCAGTACGAGGTAGAGACGAAATTCAGATCCCAGTTAGATCCATACTGACCTGAGTCTGCTGCTAGCCACTCCATGATGTGACCTTCTGATGAGATAAAGAACTGTGGAAATGACCAAGGTGGGAAAAACATGGCCAGTCTCACCATGATGTGGAACTGCCTTCCTGCTCAAATATCGTTGGCAGAGTTTCCCCAAGAACACACTTGAGGTAGCATCACTTCAGTGCAGAAATTATTTTAAAAGAGCATTTCCAACACCGTTGAGCACAGTGTCTGGTGATCCACATGACCTCTCCTAGCTCAGGATTCTCACTCTGAGTAGATTTCTCTGTCCCTTGACACATCTGCATGGTCAGATCCATGCTTTTGCTCTTAGTATCCTCTGCCTGGAATGGCCATTAGCTTCTCTATTTCTTAAGAATATCCCCCAATCCTTCCAGGTCTCTTCCACAAGGACTCACACCATCACTCCCAGCCAGCAGTAATGTCTGCCCTGGGCCCTTACCATTATTTCCCACCTATCCTAAAAGTGCTGGCCGGATGGTGTTTCTGTTTGTGCTCCCTCTCTTGCTGTTTTCCCTGCCAGACTAATTATTCAGTGGAGATCTGTAGGAGAGACAGCCAGGCCCCCAGTTCTGGCCCATACCACTTGCCTCAGCAAGTCAGACACTTAACCTCTCTGACTCTCAGTTTTTTCATCTGTGTAAATGGAAATAATTGAAAACCATCTTCCAGATTCCTGTACAGATTAAATTTAAAGAAGGTTCTTTATATATTATAAAGTGCATTGAAAATATAAAACATTATTATTTACATTGCTTAATAGTTAATGAATGAACACTTAAATGTATTAATTTAATTCAGGCTGTATTTCATATATAGACTGATGCAAAAAAAAAATACTCCTATGTAGACTATCAACAGTCTCAGACTTCACAATGAGGTGTATGTACCCTAGTATTTAATAGATCTGATATATGACAGAAAAAGTTAACAACAAGGTCAAAGAAAAGACTTCAATTTTCAGGAAAAGAAAAAATGCTACTTATCCCCAAACTTTCACTTACAGCTCTTTTCCCCTTCTACTCTATCTCCATCCAAATACCCTTTCTGCATGCACAGCTGGGTGGAATTGTGTGAGTGCTCACAGACCCAGAGACACAGGCAAGAGGAACAGGTCTTGAAGAATTATAGAGATGGACAGAGTGGTCCAATTTGATACAATATGATAAAATGAGCCCACACCACAATTAAGAGTCCTGGCATTTTTTTCTCCTCCATAACTGGGGCCTGTGAAAAAAATCTAACTCTGGGCTTAAGGGCACAATTAACCTATCCACCCACCTGCCACACACCAGCAGGAAGGGTTTTCTCCAAAGGGAAATGTTACACTGGTGACAATCTACTGATGCCAAATGAAGCCTGGAGGACACCAGATTCCACAGGGTGCTAGTGCTGAGTATGGATGGGTCTTCCAGTGTCACTCAGGCCTCCTGAAGCACTCTGGGTGTAAACTACACCCACTCAGTGCACAGTGCCTCGCACAGCACAGATGGACCTTAATTTTTCTTCCATAAGAAAATAAGTCTGTTTCTCTCCTTATCCTCTCAGCTGTTCAGATGGCGTGAACCAGCCCAGGCCCTCTTTGCTCCCCAGCTATGGAGAGAGCAGACTGCTGCAGAATGAGGGCAGGCTCTGGTCAAGGCTGGCAGTGCTCCAGCTTGTGATGCAGCTTTGGACAAATGGCTTAACTTTCTTGGGCTTCAGTTTCTCATCTATTAAAAGGGAAGTAAAAATAACCTGGTGCCTTGCACATGGTTGGGACTTGACAAATACTTATTGGATAATATTAATAAGAAGATTAAACAAAGAAATGTATGTAACACGCAGAACAGTGTAGCATGAGGCAAGCTCTCAATTCCTGTGAGCTGCCTTCTCTGAGCAGGAGCAGAGGAAAGCCCAGATAGGATGGCAAAAGCCTCGTGTTGGATCTGAGTCTCAGGAACGGGGCCCAGGGATAGGAAGGCTCTGAGGGGTAGAGCCACACCTGGTCTGTACAGGGTCAGCCATTCCATCTGAATGCATTGTTGAGCTGGAAAGAGCTCAGTTTCCATCTCTGGCAACGTAATGACTAATTCTCTTACATGCAGAAGGATCATTCTCTTACTGCTGGGAAGGATCAGTGGATGGGAAAGCAAGGGATTTGTGATGCGTTTGCCCAGTACAGCCTGTCTCCTGAAGGGGTGGGCAGCCAGGGTCCACCTGCTCACTAGGATTTCTGCAGTTCTATATTCAGAAGCTTTCAGTAAAATGGAGTCTGAGGCCCAGAGAGAGGGAAATGCACAAATGGACATTTTACTGTTCACTCTTCTGGCACAGGAATATTTCTATCTGCCATCCTCTGCCTTTGTGTAGGCTGCTCCATGTTTCAGAAAGCCATTCCTATCTTCTGTTTCAATATCTGACTTGATTTACAAGCTCCATGCCTCGCGGAAGCTTTATCTGATCTTCCTGGTTAGAATGAATTGCTCTCTCCTTCAGGATCCCACAGGGCTAAGGTTTAAAGTCCAGGACCACGTGTTTGTCATCTGCTTGGCATTGCCAGGGGCTCCATACACATCTGGCTGTCCACGAAACTCTGGATGACTCCAAGGCAGTGATGCAGCTTATGGGGCTTTGTTTGTCCCAGGCAGCCCAGGACACAATGCTGTGGACAGGCTCCATGGAGGCTCCACCATTTTAAGCCTGAGAGGGGGGAGGGGGAGCATCCCCCCTACTTAATCCCAGATTACCTGAAATCCCTGCATCCAGGGATGGCCTTTGGCTGCCGAATTTAAGAGGGTTTAAAGATCTCTGGGGATTTCCAGCTGCCTGGAGGGGTGAGAGCTGCATAGACTCCACACCCAGCGTGGGCCACCCACTGGGCTGCAGACATTCTCTCACTTAAGCTTCCAAACACCACCTAGCTACGAACTGACATTTTATCAACAAGGAAACCAAGACTCAGAGAAACTAAAAATCTTGCCTGCACCGGGGCTGGAATGCAAGTCTTACTTGGCTCCAAATCTGTGCTTTTGCTACAAGATGGTACTGTTATCCGTAGAAGGATGTCCCTGTTTTGTTATGGTTTTGTTACGGTTTTGTTGTTTTAAAGGGAAGAAAACATTGTGTTTGTTACAACTATCTCTCCTTGTGTGCTTCCTTCTCTATCCTGTCCCTCCTTTTCTCCCCCAGTGAAGTGACCTCTGCTTCCTCACCTCTCCCAGGTCTTGGTACTCTAAGTGATTGTACTGGTTCCCCCACCCCAACCCCAATGCTATTCACAAAGCAAAAGGAAAAAAAAAAACAAATCAAAAAACAGCCATCAAGAAAACCTGTCTCGCTTACTCACTCTCTCTCTCCATATAAGTGCAATTAAATTATGTTATTGCACAGTAATTAGAAATAAAAATAAAACAGGCGCAGAGACAAATACCTATAATTCCAGTTATTTGGGAGGCTGAGGAAAGAGGATCACAAATTTGAGACCAGCCTGGGCAATAGAGCAAGGTTCTTCCACAAAACATAAAAAGGGGTGGGGATGAATGAATGTATTGATAACTTGGGAATAGTCTTTCTTGAGACAACATTTCCAAACCCAGGAATTGGTTGGGCTTCAAATTCAATGTGTCCTATTTGCCAAAGGGTAGGAGAAGACCAACAGCATTTGCTGGTGGCTCTTACTAGTAAGAACTAGGTGGCTGACAGTTGTTTAGTCCCCACAACAGCCTATTATCTATATGCACAGGCCAGGGAACTGAACAGTACTCAGGAACAGGTGAGGGCCAGAGCCAGCCTGTGCTCCCTACAGACTACACTTTGGCAGCTCTTTGGTGATTGCTTTCCTGGTTTCCCCGCTCCTGGACCCAGGAGCCCTTTTTCACTCTGGTGTGCTCTGGACTTTCCATCCTTGATGCAAGAACTTGGAGCCTCTCTGCTCTTTCCCTTCCTTCCTCTCCCTGTTCTGCAATATCTGTTAGTTCTGGTGCTAACCTCCTCCCCTCCTTTTTCTCCTTCAACAAACTTGTGCCAAACACATGCTACATCATGCCAGACCTGGGCACAAGAAGCTGCAGTTATGACACAGCGTGACAGTTGTTTCTGCCCTCATGGAGCTTACAATCTAACAGGGAGATAGATTTTCAACAACCATGCCACCACCATTTAATTGTAATTATGGGGGCACCGTGAGCAAAATATGGGCATATAAATGGTTCCCGGTCTAGTGTGTGTGTGTGTCAAAGGAGCCTCTCTGAATAAGTGAAATTTGTGTGAAGCTCTTGAAGAAAAACTGAGGAAACTGAGGCAAAAGGATTGCAAGTGCAAGATCAGCCTGGGCAAATTAGTGAGGCACTGTCTCAAAGTAAAATTTAAAAAGGGCTAGGGATGTAGCTCAGTGATAGAGTGCTTGCCTAGCCTGTATGAGGCCCTGGATCCAATCCCCAGTACAGATGGAAGGAAGGAAGAAAGGAAGGGAAGAAGGAAGACAGGGACGAAGAAACAAGAAACCAGGTGGGGAGGAGAACTGAACTGGATTGGGAGAAGGGGGTGACAGAGAGCAGGCGTCTCCTTTCAAATTGAAGATCCTTTATCCTCTTTAGGTCCCCAAACCACTTGTACCTATCATTTCCCATCCACTAAATTGGTCAACTCAAGATCAGGCAAGATTGTGGGGGTATTGGATACCTGGCTGGGTTTGGAATTCAGTCCTATGAAGAGACTCTGGTGGTAACAAGAGCTTTGAACCATTTACAATGCATGGCCCAGGGATCTCACTCTGGGGGACACTCCTTCCAAAAGAAGAAGACAGCCACAGCACAAAGAGGCTCACAGAAGCACTATATGAAATAGTGAAGGATGGGAATGGGAGGGATACGATGGTAAGTGTCATGGAGCTGCTCAGTCTGACAAGAAGGAGCTTAGAAATGCCTGCATGAAGAAGTGGCCCATGAAGGGCAGAGGCACACCTGGCTATGTATTCACACCACTGCACTGGGGCTATGGTCACCATCCTGTAGGAGGTCACATAGGACACAGAGAAAATCCTAGAATGCATTCACCGCTTGCTCTAATGTCTTAAACTCTAAATTATATCTTAAAAATTCCTCAATAACACTTAAATTGATCTTCAGAGTTTAGACATAATTTTTGGCAATTCCTGATTCTGAATCCAATAAATAAATCACTTCTTTGACTACACTTCTCAAAAACAGTAGTCAGAAACTACCCAGACAGGGAAAGGGTAAGTGGTTTCCAGAGGCTCAGAATGAGGAGTGGGAACTGACTGCAAAGGGCAGAAAGAACTTTCTGGAGTGATGGAAATGCTCTGCATTTTGATTGTGGTGCTGGTCACACAGCTCAATCTCTTTTTCAGAATTTATAGAACTTCACACTTAATGTCTTATTTTCTATCTGAACATCATATCCCAATAAATCTGATTTAAAAAGCAAGAGGTCTGGGCCTGGTGACTGAGTGCTGTGGAGGTGAGGGGCCATGTGTTAGGCCCTCCCTAGTGTTAGGCCCTGGGGTACAGGCAGAGCCCTGTACAATGTAGAAGAAGGAATTCTAAAAACTGGGGAGCTGACATCGACCATCTACTCTTAGACACCCTCTCCGTCCTTCTCAGCCTTGCTCTGGGCCTTGCGAGCTTATCTACATGCCCTGGATGGGTGGGTTCCTCTGGGCTCCAGCTACTGGTTGGGTTCTACCAATGGGAGGAGATGAGAGGGTAGAAGATAACTATCTCTGACTCCATCATTACCTTTCCTCTACTGCTCCTACCTTGTAGGAACAGCACTGTCTGGTGGTAGCCTCCCCAGGTCCTGGTAGAAGGCTTCCCGGGATAGCAATAGTACCCTGGTATCAGCAGCCCAGGGTTGTGCTGCTCCTTAACACAAAGCCTTCACCCTGTCATTAGGCTTTCTATTACATTCTTCTCACATTAAAAACAAATGAACAATCACACACACAAATAAACAAGCAAATCTAACAACCTCCTGCCTAGTAATTCCATTGCCAAGAAGATCACTTTGAAACTGTTCTATCACAGGGCAGCTCTGCAAACTGGAAAATTTTCTTTCATGCTGAGCTGAAACATGTCAAATGACTCATAATTTCATACAGCCCTTTGTTTGTTCATTTTTATTCCTATCTTACAGAAGAAGATCCTAGAGCTTAAGGAGGATAAGTTATTGCCCAGCTAGCAGAAGAGGGATGAACAGATGAGACCACAGGTCTATAGAGTCTAGGCACTTACCCCCACCTCTCACTCCAGACATGGGCTCCCCAAGACAGCCTTCTTCACATGGGAAGTTCTCTAGACAGAGAAGCTTGCTCCCCCAGAATCTGCTTTGGCCTTCTACTATATTTACCCTTCCAGCCTGGCTTTGCCCTCTGAAGCTCCCAGAGTGAGTCTGACTTCCCCTGCATGGCTCCTTTTGGGACACTGGGAGATATTTGTCTGGGGTCTGTTATAAAGAGCACAACCTACATATAATCTTGCTATTAGCAATTCCTATAGAGCAGTGTGAAGGAATCAATCTTGGAGAAAATGTTAATGCAAACTCTTGTATCTTTATCACTTTTTCTTCCTCCTAAAAGACCAAGTTCAATCATCTCTGTTTCCTATTCTTTGGGCTATAAAGCTAAAACTATGGCTTCTGTCCAAAAGGCCTGATGTGAAGTCGATGAGAAAGGAGAGAAAATGAGCCTTATTGCTCACTAATAGCACCCAGGCCCAAAATGCAACAGGCCTTTGCTTATGAAGCAAATGACATCTGAGATCCTGACATTGCATGAGCTGAACCGAATGGGGGTGAGTGAGTGAGTGTTGTGTGGAGTTCATAGCCACTCTAGCTTCTAGTCCTAATTCTTTTTCTATTCATCTCATATCCATTTCAACTTTACCCAAGCCTCAGGACATAAAATGAACATTTCTCCCACCATGCTTCTGCCCATACTGTTGTTCTGCCTAGTCTACCCTTGGTGAACTTAGCCATCATGCAAGGCCTTCTATTTAACCAAGCCTTACTGAGGATGGCTACCCTGTATGCAGCTTTGTCAAGGGCATGAACATGCAGCAGAAAGCAAGATGTTAGGAGATGGGGGAGTGAGTGATAGCCCCTGCTAAGAGGATGGGAAGTCTAATACCCTTCTAACTGGATTGCTGCCATGCTGAAATCCCCTATGCAGAGGGAAATGACAGAGACCTTGGGAGACCCTGCACAATTCTCTGCAAATTATAGTTCATGCCCAAGTTTCCCCTCTACAGACATTTCCCAGATAGCCTCAAGAACTGGATGACCCAGGTTCTACCAGATGAAGAATTGCAACAATATTCCACCAAGCAAAGCTCTCCAGTAGCTGCCCTTTGAAGAACAGCAATTAAGTTTAGCAACATTCTCACTTATAACTTACACAACCACCACTTGAAGCAAGCATTCTGATTTTATTTTATGTTTTACAATCCATAATCAATTTCTGATAAAGGTAAAAAATATGACTTAACTTAAAAAAGGATTCCTCATTGCTTCTGAGAATGTTACAATGTTCCAGTGGAGGTACATAGACACTGCTGCAGCCCACTTTTTGACTCCACCATGTCCTGGTACAATTTCCCACAGGCAGGGAACTCTAGACTGGGAAGACCCAGATGGAATCATCTACTCCTATCACATTTCAGGTTGAAATAACCGAGGTCTAGTTATAAGAAGCAGTAATGATAATCTTCCAAGGCCATCAGCAAGGGACAGCTCCTTTATTACATCCACCCCGTGATTTTCAACATTATATTATATAACCTGTACAACAGCCTTATGAAGGTGGTTTTATTATTCTTCCTACTTTGAAGAAACCAAAGCTCAAAAGGTTATTTCTGGAGACGGTAGGGCTAGGATTTCCACCCAGTCTATCCAACTCTGAGTCCTATCTTCTCTCCCAGTGAGAGTACCATGCTTAGGAGAAATCACAAGGAGTGACACCCCAATCTCACAGACTGGCCTAGGTCTGTTGATGGAAGAACCAGCATCTCAGAGGATCCTGGGGCCTCTGTAATCCACTCCTTCAGAAATCCACTCCTGGTTTTTATATTATTAGCAAGTCTTTTTTGGCTCCTATTCCAAAGGCCTATCTGACCAGACAGGTGCTTGAAGAATCCTCAATATATTAATTCAAGGTTTTTCCATGGCACTCAGTGTTCACCTCTTGTAGTCTTTGGAACAGGAGGGAAGCTGTCAGTTTCATCTGGATAGAGGCAACTACTGTCAATGAGGCAAATTGAACTTTTGTGCTAGTAGAAGAAATGATGTGAGGTGCTTTGTAGGTGCCAACCCTTGCATCTCCTCCCCTGGAACAGCCAGACATCTCTACAGATGGTTCCTGACAGGTCCCCTGGTTGCTCTGTCACCTGCTCTTGTGACTAACTCAGTCTGGGAAGTTCCCAGATACAAGACAATCCTGATCCAAATTCTCACCTAGAAGCTACTCATGCTCTAATATGTGATACAATAATACTAATATCATTGCTGCTGATAATAATATCTAACTTTCACAGGTGTTAAGTCTGTGCCAGGCCGTGGGCTAGGTACCTTATATAAATCATCTCACAACAATCACTATTATTATCCTTATTTTACAGAAGGATAAAATAATGTTGGAAACATCACATAAACTCAACCTAATATCTCAAAGCCTGAAAATAATGGAGCTGAGATGTGAAAGCAGGCTGCTAATTACAGAACCTAGACTCTCAACCAGGATGCTACTCTGGTTTCCCCATCTGTAAGATGGGACATCATCCCATCTTACAGTCGCTCGAGTTATAAGAACCATCTGAAAAGTGAAAAGTGATGTTCAGAGAAGTTAAGAAATGTTGCCAGAGTCTACACAGTGGGAAGGGGATAGAGCCAGGACATGATGTGAAGTCTTTTAATTCTTTATCATCTGGTCTTGAAACTACAAAAAATAATACTCATTTCACAGAATCAGTGTGAGGGTCCAAAGAGATGATACATGTCATGGGTGTGGCCCAATGCTAGGCACACAGTAAAAATTCAAAGAACCAAATATTAAGACAGGTAGATTGTAGCATAAGGGTTAAGATTGTGAGCTCAAAAGAGAAAGTATATTTCAAAAGCACCAGTTCAAGAGCCAGGGCATTTGGGTTGGAGAGGTCACATTCCTAACATTTACCAAGTGACATTGGTAAGTTACTTTAGTTTACTGGGTCTCGGCGTCCTCATCTGTAAATTGTGCAATTGTTAGGAGATTTCAGTGAGACAGCATAAGCTGTTCTCCTTAGAACAGAAAGAGGCAGGTGAACAGCACACAAAGTCAAATGATAACAAGGGACCAAGATTATTCTTACTACTCTACAACACATCCTTAGCCCCTGGAAAATGTTTTTAAAACAATAATGTTATGTAAAATAAAGCATTATTACAATGGCTGCACAAGTTTCACATGTTGACCGAAAACTTATCTTCTCCACTTATCACTCTCCGCCATGTTGTTCTGCGAACAGATCTCTTCAGGAAAGGAAGAGCAAGGGCACTTAAGTGGAGACCAACAAGGGCCAGAAAACTGGAACAGGGAGGAGCAGCAAATGAAAGGAGGAAACTCATCCTCAATAGCTGCCTCGCTTAACAAGAGGGCAGGTGTCCTTTGGAGCAAAAATGTACATTTTCTACCTGAAGAGATCCCACAGCTGCCAGAGGGTCCTCCCCAGACTCCCACCCCAGGCCAGGTAAGCCAAGTAACTCAGGGTAGGGAGGGGGGAGATGGCAAGACTCTCCTCCTGCTGCCTTTGTGGGTGGGAAGGGCTCACTCTGATTTCTCTATTTTTCCCATGAAAATACCAGTAAATAGCTCTGCAATTGAAAGGTCACTGGCTGCTCATTTCTCAAGAAACTTCCCAACAAAGAAACTGAACGTCAAATGGATCTGTCAGGATTACCATCCAGATACGGCAGCCCTGGGCAGATACCAGCAAAAGAAAAATTCTTTTGGACTCTCTGTTTCTGACTCCCCCTGTTCTGGGGGTGTGATGCGATTCTTATCTAGAACTTGATAGGATGTATAAAATAATTACAAATGAAAAGGTTATTCATAATTTTTAAATGAGTTAATTAGTAAACCCAGTCAGATTCACTCATTACAGTAATTAATAATTGATTATACTTGAAATTAAACACAATTTTCCATCAAAAATCTAATTAAATATCTGTGCTTTTGCCTGTTGATTAGATCAGTTGGTCTGCTGGAAAAGAATCTTTGTTAAGGATATTTGTGCTTGGCTGAAACAATTAATTTGATTTTTAATAATTGATAGTTCCTTATAAGTTAGTCATCACAGCCTGTAATTATGGCCAAGCAACAAGACGCTGGTTCTTTGGCTCGGCAGCTGGAAGGAACAGCATGTAGGCTGCCACCACCCGACCCTTGGAGGAAGGGTGGTTGGCCCCACACCTCCAATGCATTCACCTACAGAAACTCACTTCGGCCTCTCATGCATCCACCTACATCTGTGGTCATGCATGTTTTCCAGATGAGGAGATCAGAACTCAGGCAGAGCAGTGAGGTCCCCAGAGGAGGGGTGTGGAGGGGGGCAGAGCAGCTGCCTGGTGGTAGAACGGGGAAAGGAATCCAGGGCTGTTAGGCACTGGGGCCAGGTGCTTCCCCAAGTCCTTGCTGTGTCTCCAGGTAGCAAAGGGAACACTTAGGCTTGCCTGTTTTTTTTTTTTTTTTCCTTTTTGGTACTGGGGATTGAACCCGGGGCACTTAACCACTGAGCCACATCTCCAGCACTTTATTTAAAGACAAGGTCTCTCTGAGTTGCTTAGGGCCTCGCTAAGTTGCTAAGGGGATTTTGAACTCATGATCCTCCTGCCTCAGCCTCCCAAGTCGCTGGAATTACAGACATGCACCACTGCACCCTGCCCAGGCTTGCCTCTTTGACCTAATCCCTGAGTGTAATCCTGTCTTAAGATTTCTACATAGATACAACTTTATCGGAAGGATATAATGAACTGACTACTCCTAACTTAGGACACAAATTCTCCTACAGTGACCTTACATCTCTTTACCCGCTCCTTTCTATACCTACACTGTCACTGTCTTTGCTGAAGCCATTGGCTATTTCTGACTAAGAGCTCTGCCTTCTGCCCCTTCATTCCTCTACACTTATATTTGTAAAATAAAAATCTGGCTATGCCCTACTGTGCTTATGACCCTTCAATGACTCCCCAACTGCCCATCCAATAAGGTGCTCAGCTGGACTTCAAGGTGATCTTCATAAATCTGACAAAACATTTGTATATTAGCTCCAAGGGGTACCCCAGTTCTAAAGCGCTTCAAGAACTCTTTCTGCGGCATGGTCCTATTTCAAGTCTCTGCATGTTCTCTTGATTTAAAATACTCTCCTGCATGCCTACTTCTGCAAACTCCTACTTTAAGATTCCATACATACATCATCACCTTTTCCAAGAAGCTCTCCCCAGCCCTCCTGGCTGGGGATTGTTGCTCCCACAGCCTCTGAACTGCTGTGTCCATCAGTCATTCTTGATTTACCTGCTAACACGACTATCTCCTCTTTTAAGCTATCAACCTTATCTTGAATCCCAGCACTTAACATAGTGCCGGGCTCAAAGCAGATATGGCTTGCTGAATGAAAAGTAAGATTCGCAAAATCATTAAAGACTCAAAGACTGTCAGTGTTGGAAAGGAAATTAATGGTCACTTAGTAAAAATTCTCTCAATGCCTGAATCCTATGCTTGCTAAGTGGGCATTGAGCTCACTTGTACCCTTCCTACGACAGGGAGTTCACTACTTCCCATAAGTAGCCCTGTTGTTTTTATTTAGCTGAAGATTGACCAAGTATTCTTACAAAATGGAAGAAGAAGCCCATGGAATGAAAAATAGTTTTCTTAGCCATAAAAATTTTCTCCTCCTCCCTAAAATTATCTACTGTTATGGTTTGAATATGAGATTTCCTCAAAAAGTTCCTGTTAATGCAGTAATATTCAGAGAAAATGATTAGATTATGAGAGCTGTAACCCAATCAGTCCCCCCTAGCTTGAATCGACTGAATAGTAATAGTAGGCCGGTGGGGCATGGTTGGAGGAGGTGGGTCACTGGGAACATGCCCTGGAGGGGTTCATCTGCCCTGTGGCCCCTACACACACACACACACACACACACACACACACACACACACAC